CAACGGACCAATAGCGTTTAAGATTCTCCCAAGTGGGAGATATGAGATGAAGGTGAAAAGAGCGCTTTTGGCGCGAAAACAAACACTTCAAATTTTCAAAATAAAATTACAAAATTAGGATATTTCGAAGTGAATTCTCAGGATCTAACGTCTCCAACACATTGATTAACCAATGAATATACACATCAATAGACTGAACTGTTGTTTTCTTTCTAACTAACTAATGTTAATCCACTTGGTATTGTCTTGCTTGAATCTTCCCATTGATGTTTTAGGACTGAAATTGATCAGTCTTTATTAGTATATGTGTATACTGTGCGTATGCCTCGATATTGCCTTAATGTACAAGCATTATAAGCAAAGATGGATAGTGGCTAGCAGTGGAATCCAGGACGCGCGTTTCGTTCTGTTTGGGACTTGTCAGCTGGATGTACCTGCATCTCAGAGTTGATGTTCACTCTGGGACTAATGTTAACTGAGTTATATATTTAATTCTCCATAAATATTTGTAAAATAGTCATCTTATAAATAAAGTACTATAGATCTATTTAGACATAACCTTGAAATGTGAAAATTTTCATTTGACTAATAGTTACATTAAATTAGAAATGACTGGTGACAATTTTAATTTTATCAGAAGGGGTTTGTGGAGATTTTAGAAATTTTCACAGATTGAAATTATGAGTCAGTTGAAGCTAGACCACCATTGGATTGGTTGAAGTTAGACATTAACACCGTTGGATGCCGGCCGGGTCAGTGGTCTAATGGTTAAGTGCCCGCGCGCGAAGACAGTAGGTCCTGGGTTCGGATCCCGCGAAGGGTGGGTTCGTGGATGCGCACTGCTGAGGAGTCCCGTACTAGGACGAGACAGCCGTCCAGTGCTCCCAGGTTTCCAATGGTGGTCTAGCTTCTACTAACTCGTGATTTCAATCTGTGAAAATTGTAATTTTATTTGAATTGTAACTAACATTCACACGTGACTATGATTCGGCATTTTTATTAAAGTCTGCTAAAAACAGAAAACTATATAAAGGTTAGTAACAGGTTTAGAAAAATTAATCATTATTACGTTTTTCTATTCAGATAAAAATAATAATATATCACAAGGGGTTTTGTGAAGATTTTAATAATTTCAATAGTTGAAATTATGAGTCAATTGAAGTTAGACCACCATGGAACACCTGGAAGCACTGAACGGTCGTTTAATCCTAGTATGGAACTCTTCAGCAATTTCGTGGATTGGTTGAAGTTAGACATTAACACGGCTGGATGCCGGCTCAGTGGTCTAATGGTTAGGCGCTCACCCACAAAACTGATAGGTTCTGGGTTCGAATCTCGCGGGGGCGGGATTGTGGATGCGAATTCCTGAGTCCCATACTAGGTTGTCCAGTGCTTCCAGGTTTTCCATGGTGATCTAGCTTCAATTGACTCATGATTTCAAAAATAATATAGAAAATTAATTGGTGAAATCAATTACTAGAGGTTAGGCGTTCGCATACGAGACTGAAAGTTTTGAGTTTGAATCCCATGGGCAGGATCATGAATGCGCATTACTGAAGAGTCTCATATTAGGATAAAATGGCCGTTCAGTGCTTTCAGATTTTCAATAATGATATAACATTAATCGATTCATGACCCTAATTTAAAAAAATTCAATTATTACTGTTTTAAATCAATTAACTCGGAAAAATTTAAGACAAACTTAAATCAGTGGGATAAGATACTTTAAAAGTAGCGAGCTGTTTGCTTGTTGTGATCTGAGTACTAGTAAAAAGATCTTGGTTAAAAAGAGGTAAAAAACAACTTTGTATGTTCCTTCTGAATCTGAAAAGAGAATACATTAACTGGTAATCAGATAGGTAATTAAACGGTGACAGAGTAACATTCATTAATGTCTACGGAAGTAACGTAGATATCAAGTCTTATTTTGAAAGACTCGTTCCTTCTGTTTCTGCACTGCACAAGTTGCAAATCTTAGGTATCTACAAGAAATGAGCAAGGTTTACTTTTTAGTCTGAGTAGGTTTTTGGTTGCTACTTTTTGAACATTTTCCAAGAGAGAGATATCATTCTTAAGGTAAAAGAACATGGTGCCAGTTTCTTTACAAAAGGGGTTTTAAGTAAACTTTGAAGAAATATTTAAATAAATTTAGACTTAGGACACCTGTTTTTAGAAAAAACCACAGGAAGATTCGTATCTTTAGAGAATGATCATGGTAAGGTTACGTATTAATATGAGTTGAAGCCATGACAGATCATAAGTGATGATCAACCACACTGAATGTTGACACAACCCAGTAGGTAATCATCTATGAAAACATCCTATTCGAATACTTTTCTTGGTTTGTGCTGGCGTCGATGTTATCTAGGAAGACAATGGGAACTACACTATTTTAAGCCATCCTGCTGAGTGAAAGATACAGTTGCATCAAGAACATTTGCGCAACATATTTGATTCAAATATAGAGTAAATGTCACTAGAATCTACTAGAAAGCAGGTATACTTAAATCAATGTTCATAAATTCATTTTTCCTTCAGTAAAGCATATCAAACTACGGAAAGGTTTATTGTACATTAAGAATTCTCTCTTTATACTAGAACAATACTATCTTATGAATGTACATTACTCGATATTACTGAGCGGCAAGTTCCTTGTTTGACATTTGCACCCTAATCACAACACTAAATATCGTCTATAGTTGATCTGTCCTGTCATTGGTTAGTCTAAGATCATCAGAATATTACATGTACTGTGATGTTGGATCATATCATTGTCTTTGCTTAAGATACAAAAGCACTTAGAGTCGTTGAACTGTTGAGAGGCAACAAGATTTGTAAAACATAATACTGTAACTGTAACTCGTGATCTAATCACTTAGATCTATAGTTAGTGATTACTACAGTTATTGAAAATACACAACGCTAGGTAAATTAGATAAGCGATATACTAATTATTGCATGCGATTGGTCAACATTCGACTTCACTTCCCGAGGCAGATGTACACCATTGATTGGAAATCTGACCAAATGTATTGAGGGATATGTCTGTATTAACGAATTGTACGTACATTATTTATTCGGTTAACCAATGAAGTTCTCTGTTCACTTGGTTTGAGCACGCATATCGAAATAGTATATTATCAGTAACATACTTTGACGACTGAAGTACATAACACTTAAAGAAATTATACGAATACAAAAAATAGCCGTTACATATTAGTAATCGGAGAGACGAAAAGTCCTAGAATCACAGGAAGAAAACAAAACAAGGAAGTAAGGTGAATTACACTTAGAAATCTATCCAATTTAGTTAGTGTCTCAGTCAATGTATTTAAGCTTGGTTAACTAATCCTATGATCATAGAGTCAATCAATCAAATCATTGGACTCTTCAGTAATTAGTTCATACAATAAAACTACACCTAGGTCACATTCAAAATATATCAGTCAGTGACATTCTAGTTAATTAAATTCACAATATGTTTATTTCATTTATCGTACATATAACCAATACTACTCATAGGGTGTATCCAAACATATTAAGTATCTATGCAAACAAGCTAGCTCAATGTTAATATAATAGATAAGTGTGAAAATGAAGACAAATCATTGATTGAAGCTGTTCCTGGAATTTGTCAAGGTTTAGCCAATATATTTAAAGTATAGAAAACTATATAAATATCAACGGGTAGTGTTTATTTATATTCCGTTTTACCATAGTTTTCTCATTCAATCTTTTGTATCTAATCAGACGAATGTAGAATGTGACAATTTTCTTTTGAAAAAAAATATATAGAAAATTAATTGTATTTAGGTTGTTTTAAATAAGAAATTAATTCCAAGAGTGTTCCTTTTGTTGTTGTTGTTCATACATGGAATCAAATTACAATTAGATTATCATTAGAATATTGACACAATCATAATCCAGACCAAAATTAATTAATCATTTGTAGGATCCTTTATCTAACTAATGTTCTCTTTACTGTTCTATTCAATAATCCAACCTTTTTTACACATTACATATACATCCATCCATCCATCCATACACACACACACAATGTAAATATTTAAATGGTAGTAACTAAAACGTTTATCTTTAATTTTAATCACAATAAGAGAGAAAAAAGGTAGATTGATAGAAAAAGCCAACAGAAGAGAAGAAAATTCTAGCATTAAGCTATAACAAATCATTTGTGTATATTAGCAACAGGTATACACACATATATTGTATATAAATAGGCTATTATTGATAAAAATTTATAAATGTATGTAAGAAAAGTAACGAGAACGTTGTGGGGTTGAAATCATCTCACCAGTTTAAAAAAAATATATGTAACAACAGACTATGTTATTTATTATTGATGCCAAACATCATGCATCGAGTAGTATAAGAAAAAAATATATATTAGTAAATATCTATTTATCTAACTGTTTCTTCTTCTTCTTCCAAGAACTAGAATCAATAAGTAAGTAGAATTAAACACTTTCAATGTATTTCATCTTGAATACTTTGAGTAGTAGTAGTAGTAGTAGTAGTAGTAGTAGTAGTAGAACACTTTGAATGTTACAATAAGTATAACACATAAACCATTCAATACAATACAGCGGTGGTGGTAGCAGTAGTACAAGTACAATACAGTGCATCTTTTTCAAGTGAAACGAATTTACACATAGAAAATGTAATTGAGTAGAGAAGAAAAAGGAGATTAGATTGTTTTCATTTCTTTTTTTTTTAAGTGAAAAATGAAGCAGAGATTGATTATACACAAAGATTAGTACAAATGTGAAGGTATTTATTTTTTTTAAAAAAAAGAAGCAGGGAATCATTATTATCATCATTACTTTAAAAAAAACTGGTCTTATTGAACATTGTAGAATAAACAAAACACGGGGCAGGTCATAATAATGGGAACAGAGAACAATTCAAACTGTAGATGATAAATGAACACACTTGATAATAATGATTTAGAAAAAGATTATGAGGTGTTATTAATGTAATTATTAATTAGCCCATTCAGCAAGTGCTCCAATATCGTCATCTTCAATTGCTTTCTTACCTAAATAAATGAAGGAGAAAAGGAAATCCTCATATATATATATATATATATATATATCAATTTTATATAGCCTGTGCTAAATGTATGGCTGTGAAATAGGGTCTATGAAAGCAGAAGATACGTATAAATCGTAGGTTTTTGATCGTAGACATCTTTGAAGCATTGCTTATTTGTTGTGAAACAGTCGAGTAATACTGACTTAAGGTATAGCGTTAAGAGTAAAGATAGTATGTCAGTTGATGAAGTTACAGTGAACTCTCATCGACTGGGATGATTAGAATGTATTACATATACCTGACCACCGTCTACCACAACGAGCGACATTAAATAATATAGGAGTTAGTAGATAGCAGTGATCGGCCAAACCAAGACGTCGTATCATTTCGAGAAGTGACTGACTGTGGGTCGAAGTCATGTCTACCTACCTACCTAATTGGGGTCGGCGTGATAAGTGAGATCAGAGGTTGGAAACGCTGGGTGATATAACTTAGGACCATTCAAAATCAAGTAGATACTTTCGTTTTTATTTGCCTTTTACCCCTGTTGTTAAGATCCGTATCTATTGTTAAGGAAAGGTATATTAGACAATATGTCTACGACAAAATTCCGCCGATGAATCACTAAAGTTATAAAAAATATAGTAAGTTTTCTACATGGTTCCCGGGAGACAGGGTCTTGAAAGTGGCCTTTTCTTTTGATAGCGCTACACATATTAAAATAAGATTGTTTTTGGGAAGTCTTACTGCTGTAGTACTGTACACTACGGTAACGTGAATGAAGTTTGCAACTGATTGGTAATTTCAATATGAAGCTGTTTAATTAAGTTACTTAAACCGTCAGTCTGAATAATGGATTCTCTTAGGTGAAAGAACCTTTAACATTCACACTAACACTAATTTAGCTTCAATATCAAAGACATTATTCACGTAATCTTCGACGAGAAATCTACTTTGTGCACTCTTCCATAAATAAAACATTCCCTAGTTATGTATATTTAAGCATATGAATCAATATAAGTAGGGTTCACGAATTCACTCTTCTTAAAGAAGTAATGTATAGTGATAATGAACCCCTCATCTCCGACAACTATGCTATATTTTAAACTATCAAATAGACAGGAGAGTTGTATTTAGAATATTTTTTGGTACTTGAATCTTTTGTATTCAGTTACCAGTAAACCTAGTAATTCAAATAATTTAATGTTATTTTTCACTAGTTCAGTACTGATATTAAAGTATTTATCATGAATTAGGAATCGCAAAACAGACTAGCTTTCTCGATGACTTTACGGAATCCAATGAAATCATTCATCTTTAAATGAACTATTACTGGTAAAGTTAATTTATAGAAGCGATCCAATCAGGAAGAATAAGGGTGACCAAGCCAAGACGTGCAATCAGCCCATGAAGTTATTGACAATCAAACTGATCCATGTAGGTAGATGCAGACTACCTAGTTGCAGTCCCCGCAGCTATTGAAACCAATGCTTAGGGACTTTGAGTAACATAGCTTAGTTATTCGCAATAACACAGGTGCATCCACTCGTTATCCACTCAGATCATGGGTCTGGAAATCTCTCCACATCCTTTTTATTTTCTTCATATGTAATCTTTTCTACTATCACTGGCACTGTTACTACCTTTGTTATTCTGGGAATGCTTCGATAAATTCACCTCAGCATGCTAACAGTGTGTCGACTTGAACTAGTGAACAATCGCATCAAGTTCTACGTTGCATAAAGCTGACTGAAGTTGCGTCCAAATCCTAAGACCAAAATCCTAACATTATAAATTATCCATTCATTAGCTGTTTTTTCAGGTTAACTGGACAGATCGTATTTCTGACTGCTTCATCTTCATATTTCAGCTTTATTCTATTCATCTCCTGAAATGATCATCTTTTAAACGTTCACCTAAGTACTGATTTGTCAAAATCTTCAAAGTATTTAAGCGTATAGCACGTTAATAAAAACTCTTTCTGATAGCTTACTTGATGCACTTTTGGATGCTACAGGTATTGACAAATCAGAATCTGGGACATTAGGCAATTGAGGTATCCGATTAATATCCAGCAATTTTTGTTCAACACCTTCAGCCTTTAAGTAAACAAAACACAAATTATTTGTAATACTGACTATGATGTAATCTAATAAAGTAATGAATTGTAACAAAAAAACGATAGAAATAGGACTATAGGTTACATGGTTTGACATCAGGTTTCAACTGTGCAGTTTATATGAAGGCCAATGATACTTATCCAACTTTAGAAATCGAGGCAGATGGAGAAAGGTTTGAATTCACAATCTAATGGTTGAAAGTTGAGTGCTTTAATTTACTAAGCTATCTTTGCTGTGAAACCACATTCATAAAAAGAGATTTGTAGTTTAAAATTATTTAGTTACAGATGGAATGGTAGGTTGAGGAAGAGATAGGAGCAAGTCAACACAAAAACATGGCATTAATCTATGAATGTTGGTATAGACCGTGTAGGTAGGTTCTGGTTGCTTAATTGGGGTTCATGTGGTCCTTGTAACCAATAATTAAAGACTAGGTAACAAAACTCAGAATCGTTCGTAATGGTAGATAAGATGCATTTATTCCTTTTACCCTTTAAGATCCTAAGTTTTGCAATTAACTTATTCCACGAATCTATATTTTTTCTCGAACCGTTTCTTCTGTGCAACCTCCTTTATCTTTTTGGGATACAATATAACATCTTATGAACAATAAATACGTATTGTAAAATTACTCCTGCAAAACCATGGTCGGTAATTTAATGATGTAAACGTTAATGTTTTATAGTTAGACTCCTTTTTATTCACATATTTTCACTTACTCCAACCAATCCTGCTTTTTCTTCTTTTATGACCTACATACTCAATGTCGATTATTGAACCTTGCAGAAAAAGTATCCTGAGTCAGCTCTACATTTCTCAAATAAAGAGATTTGGCTTTCTGACAGCATAGTACTCTGTCATGTGTTCATCTATGAGGTCCACAGTATACTGAATTAGATTGTACTATTTAAGGGAATCAGCTACATTTCAATATAGTCTTACTCCACTAAAGTCTGAGAACAGTGATCGATTCGTGTCATTTTCTTTCGCTTTCCAAATTTATTTCACTGGATTATAATCCTTGAATAACATCTTCAAACCCTAATCTTTCCGATTACTGCTCATACTCTTACTACCCTACCACTACGGGATTTGAATCGATAACTGCATCTCTGTGCTAATGTGGTTTGGCAACTCGAACTGATGTACGAATGTACGAAGTTCTACGTTGTTACTGGCTGAATGACTTTTGCAAACACATAGCCAGAAGGAAGAAATCACGATTTCGAACCAAGATATATAGGTCGACGTTTTTTATTTCAGGGTTATGAAAAATGCAGGGTTGAATGAAATGAAGCTCATGCTTGAGAGAGAAACATTCGTCACTACAAACTATCAATTTCGCTTCGAACATAAATAGTACTTGTAAAGCCGGCGACCACGATGCATGTCATTTCCTGAAATAAAGGCGTTGGAGAGTAGGAAATAGATCTTAACGAGGTAATAACAGTGATTCATTACAGATATCTGCAGACAATCACCGTTATATAAGTGTGAATTTCAAACATTGCAAAATTTTACAAGGTAATGTATAGCATTAATGTGTTAGGAGCTGATTCAATTAGACCAAGTTAAAATGAACGGAAATCGAGTGGCTAGTACGGACTACTGGCCAGATTAAAACACAGTTAAATATCGGACATTTTAGTTGAAGAAGGCCACGCCAAAATGGTGTCACTGAATGCATCCACTATCCGAAAATAAAAACAATAAAAAAGGCTAAGTACTGGGGTATTATCAAACCATATTACCTTTTAAAAGAACATGTTTGACTATCACTTGACTGGATGAAATTCATTATTTCTTGGTAGTTTCAGACATTTTAACCTATAACTACATTGCTGCATTTTACTACGCCTATCGTTATGATGGAGTAGCTGCAAAAACAATGTGAACCTTTACAAATAGTTATATTTGAACAATGAATAGAGGCATGAGTAAACCTGGTGTAATATTTATTTCTGCTAACACGTAATGTCCTTGATAGCCATTAATACTTAACAAAACTTCAGCCTGTGTAATAACAGCTCCATAATAGTTATCTGGTGAACGGAGTCAAAATGTAGTTTTTCGACAAGAAAGTGTGAGATACTTAGGAATAAGAATGGAATGTAGCACAAAAGTATTGATAGTAAGAGCCAAATAATCAAATCAGTAGTGGACTACTTGATATTTCATAATGGCCACCTATCTACAGTTAGGTAATTGGATGGAGATTGGATTTAATCCACAAAAATTCAAAATATAATCAAAATGAATTACTGAAATATTTTGGAAAGTGTAGCACCAGTTTGAAAACCACGTTTTCAACACTTTTATTGTATGTGTGAAAACGACTTTAATTTTCCACCAAACATTAAGTGAGATACACTGACCTTCCTTTATAAGGGGTTTCCAACCCTAACACTAACCCCATGTTTACTAATAAGACTTCGAAAAACCGTACGAATGTTAACACATAAGTATACCTGTCCTCGACTTAAGTAAAACGTATGTGGTTGTTTATTTAGAAGGCCAATCTACTAAACAGGGAATACAAAACATATGAACTTAAAAATTAAACCAAATTATAAACAATATCTAAGCCTTTAAATTAACAAGCCACGCAGCAGTGAGTTACCTCAAGCTCTTCAAGTTCACGAAGAAGGTCATCTTCATCGTAGTCTGCATTTAGACCCATAGGGGTGGATATTACATTAGAGATTTCCTGGCACGTATCTCGTTGTTCTTGTATATCATCCATAATATTCTGTACATCATCAGCAGTCCTAAAAGCATTAAGATCATAACACACTAACAGTTACATGTTTTTGTGGACATTTTTTAAGGCGTTTGACCCATATCGCATGGCATTAAGAACCTCGACATTTGTTCCAGCATTTTCGAGAGCTTCGATATGACTATCAATTGTATTGAGAGTCCCATCAATCTGAGCTAATTGCTTCTCGTAGTTACGCTTGCGAGCCAAGGCCTGAAGTGCCACTAATAAATTAAATAATTCAGACTAATAAATCTTACTTCTTTTGTTTTTAAGACCGTATTTTTTGGCCAAAGCTATCTGCTCATCAACTTTTCCTTCCAGAAAGGCCGACTTTTTTGTGAGCATTTCATGTGTTTCTCTAAGCTTATGAATTGCCGTTTGAGTCTCTGGTTTATCATTCTTCTTAGACTTGAAAAATTTCGATAAGGAACTCATCTCAAGGTTACGCCGACCCGCCTTGTCTCCAAAGTCTGTGCAGTTCCAAGGTCGCGTGAAGTCCAATATATTGGTGCTCATCATCTTAGTTGTCAGGTTCAAGCATTTTTTTAAAGATTAAGGTAACTTTGTGCACAGTCACAAGTGATCAATAACCAAGAAAGAACTTAAGCTGAAATTACAACAACGATATTGCCACACCTTACAAGGCTCAAATGAAAGACTCCAGAAAAAGGGTCTTGGAAAGTAACGCCTAAGCCACAACAATAAAAAAACTTTGAAACACGTTGTAAGGCGACAACGCTTTCGGAATTTTCTGAAGGAGATGGGAGCCATCCGCTGTTTTCCGTTTGAATATCCGTGCTGCTGACCACTGAAATTAAGTAAGTATCTGTAACCACAAAATACGAAAAATCACTAATGAGTGTGTTTGTCGCTTGTTCAGTGAAGGGGCACCTGTATTTTGAACATTTGTATGGGTTAGGCTTAAAGAGAAATTTACAAAAGTTGAATGTCGAAGCCTGCTTTCAGTTGGACGCGAATGATTACTGGAGTTTGTTACTTCACACGACCTTACGCGCTACAACTCGGTATCTTCCGCAAATGGTCATTAAAATATATGAGCAACCTTACGTCATAAGCAATCAAGAAGTTCTGATGATATGTCACAGCAAAGCCTTATGGACGGAGTTCAAACGAACCAGTAACGAAAGTACATACAAATATTTTAAAAGCATTAGGACCCTATCCATAAAGGAGCTAAGAGAAGATAGGTGACAGTACTGTAATAAGCCGATCGATATATTTACCGCTGATCAGAAAACGTTGCTCTGCCATGTGACCTCTTCTTGACGAGTAAAGGTTGGAGTGTCGTGAATAACTAATACACTGACTTTGCAGTTAAATATTTTGTGCTGAATATAGACCCATCATAATAATCTTACAAAATTTTTTACCGCATACTACGAATTTGAGTCCCAGACTGTGTCTTGTGGAAATTCCTGAATTATTGAGATTCGTTCTTTCCGTTAGGTTATTATATGTTCACGCAGAGTTTTCCAGTTGCTAGTCTTCAGTGGTTCAACCAGCAGTCATATCTCACAGCTTCTATTGAGATAGTATTTCCAAGCATTTCAGCTGATTGGTCAGCCATAGATTTGTAGAACTATGGTCTACTATGATATTAGTACTGCTCTAATAATAGACCTAATCCTAAATTTGTAGATTTGTCATGATATAACTGCCTAATCTATAAGATCTTACGTGGAAGTCACACCATCGACTACACCAACTCACTGTATCGTATCAATTACCAATACATGATGTAGAACAAGGTTAGGCTAGAGAAGGAACAATATATTTAATATGAATAGAAGATATAAGGTAACATTCAGATGAACCACGCCTGCATGGCCGAGCCATGCCATCCGATCAACTCCAGTCCATTCAATTCATTGTTCGCGCCTTCTCCATTGTTAGGTATTTCTCCGCGTTAAATATTGAATATCTATTTTCTGAGTAGTCTCGTGTTCACAGCTTTGTGGATTGTGTGGCTATTGTCCAATGCCACTACACTACTCTCCCACCAGAATCAACGTGATGTTGGTTCGATACCAAATTGGATGGGATCGTCGCGCGCCGGAGGTTACCAAGGATAATAAGAATCCTCCGGGTATTGGTAAGCTGAAAGATAAATCAAAAATAAGCGGCAGCATCTGGTCGGGAAATACATGTAATAATTTTAAAATATCTGCCTTCATGCTTAAAATGCTTGAAATGAAAATTTGGGTGAAGATTATTTGAGCTATAAAAAATGGGGTTACAATAATAATAATAATAAAACGATGCGTGTTAATAGCCGTTGGTTAATAACTTAACGTATAGGTAGTAAGTATTTTGTGTTTAGAAATATTAAAGTGATGAATATTGTAGAAATGTTAATATTGGTATTAGTTTTGGTTTAAATTATGAAATCAAATAACGATTATGCCGGTAAGTTGTCCATATGAGTTGATTCCAATTGCATCTGTATTAGTAGGCTAACTGAAGGAACAAAAGTATACCGTGGAGAAGAATTCCAACTAGTGTTCCAGTTAGTTTGATACGGTTTATTTAGTTACGGGGAGATTTTCTCAACCTCATTTTTACTTGACCGTGATAGAATTTAGTAATACTACTAATACACATGAATGGTTATCAAAACAAAATTTAAATACGTAAGTGATAATTATATGAATTTTGGACAGATAGCTAAGAACAAATCGTTAAACATGAGTGTATTCGTAAGAGACATGCTCTAGACTCAATGTTCTGAGTTGCCATAGACTATTTACACATATTTATACTTGCGGCTGATGATGCATACAAGTTAGTTGCAAGTATGCAGTTTATCATAAGGCGGAATACGATTTAATTGAGATATAGTGGTTATAAGTTATTAAAATCAGTTAGGCCTGTGTCATATTACGAAGTGATGTGGTGCTGCAAGATGTATTTGGCTAAATAAGTTTTTACAAGATGATTAATAGTGAGTGATGCTCATGTGATTATCAGGGAGAACATAAGTTGTAACCAAGGGGAGTACACTCCCAACTCATGTCTATGATAATGGCTTGAACCTTAGTCAGTGTTGGGGTAAATTCGACATTGATGTTTTCAGTTTGCAGGAGATTTGCTCGACTGCTTATACTGATTATTTGCATGCATGATTGTGTCGCTAAACCATCAATTAGACTGACAAGGTTTTGAGATATTTACTGAATGAGCAACTGATAGAGAAACATACTGTAATCATCTGTGATGGATGAAGATACCAAGAAAACAACACATAATGGTAATTATAAGTCAATTTGTTGACCGATTTCGTTAATAGTTTCATTAATTTTATCAATCATATTACGTGATTGTCAAGTCATGACAATGCTTTATGACGATATCCTGAAACTATTAGTTTAACTAGTTATAGTGTTGATTGAGGATTAGTCAGTGGAAAAATAGGTATTGTTGCTTTAGGTGATTCGAAATCATCAGAAATTTATAACGTTAAAGAATCCGAGACGCCTAATTTAATTATAAATTTCAATTCAGAAATATTCGTTTAGTGTTAATTCTAGTAGGCTACGGAGTTTTGATTTTAAACGTTTGTTTAGCCAACAGCTACCTGGGATTTAGTTATTTTACTAGTGCAGTTGATAGTACCTAAATTTTTAATCTTATTATCTAAACTATGTTCGCATTTTAGGCTGCTAATATGATAAACAATCCATAAACCCAAATACGATTAGCAACAACGACTATTATGGGTTTATTGATAAATGTTAAAGGCGATCCAGATTTCTAAATTTAAAAGACATGAAGATATAGTGAAACGTATGTACGGGCCAGGTTAACATGCAGGTTGTTGACGTATATGACAATTTAAAAATAATGAACATGACCAGAAAATAATTTTAAAGTTAAGACTGCTTGTGAAACTTCAGGCACGAATATGATGAATTATAAATTTTCCAAAAGTTAGTGCATTTAGCCTAGGGACAATTACAAATACGTGGCAGAAGTAACTGGAAAATATATACATGTTAAGTACAAAAATATCATTAAGTAAAATAGTTGAACTCGCCTGGATTATTTTTGAAAATTAGATTATTCAGTGGACGACAATATATAACGACATTCGTGAGGAGTAGTAATGATCCAAAAGTATCCAGAATAAAACATGCAGTATGGCAATTAATTCCGGGAGCTTGATGCTGTTGACGTTTTTGTCACTCGCTCGGATCAGAACAATTGAATGAATCCAGATACTTGTGTGGTCGCCATTGAACGAGTTATCTAAAATGACCTTATGATTGCAGAAAACCTATAGCTGAAACTCACCGTATGTTTTTGGAGAATTGTCATCCTTGTTGTTTGGCAATGGAACTCGAGAATATGAAATTAGGCAGGCAGTGGTCGGAAGAAAAGATATTACAGGATAGTGCATAGTTTAAAACAGGATGAGGTGTTAAGTGAAGGAGCACTAAGAATTAGATCCAGATAACTACTTAGTCCTTGCTTACGTTGTTAGTCAATGTATATTTACGTTATTTGCATGTCGTATTTGCTAGAGCTTGATGTTTAAACAAGACTATGTCGCTGAAGCATGTAAATGCTATTAAAGCTTGTTAACGAACCATCAAAGCTAATTAGTTAATTTAGACGACCAGTTTTTACTATCGATTGACCTAGTATGTTATGAGAAGTAATCAATATAACATTACGATAACGCATGTGAGCATTAATCAGAGGACTATTAGAATACTGGGTTAACATATATATAAAATCGATCGAGAAAGTTTAAGTGGAAATAAGGATTAACAATATATTGTTAATCCTATTATAATAGGTTGCGTTTCTTTAGTTGGGCTCACCAATGTAGAACTATGGTCTACTATGATATTAGTACTGCTCTAATAATAGACCTAATCCTAAATTTGTAGATTTGTCATGATATAACTGCCTAATCTATAAGATCTTACGTGGAAGTCACACCATCGACTACACCAACTCACTGTATCGTATCAATTACCAATACATGATGTAGAACAAGGTTAGGCTAGAGAAGGAACAATATATTTAATATGAATAGAAGATATAAGGTAACATTCAGATGAACCACGCCTGCATGGCCGAGCCATGCCATCCGATCAACTCCAGTCCATTCAATTCATTGTTCGCGCCTTCTCCATTGTTAGGTATTTCTCCGCGTTAAATATTGAATATCTATTTTCTGAGTAGTCTCGTGTTCACAGCTTTGTGGATTGTGTGGCTATTGTCCAATGCCACTACACTACTCTCCCACCAGAATCAACGTGATGTTGGTTCGATACCAAATTGGATGGGATCGTCGCGCGCCGGAGGTTACCAAGGATAATAAGAATCCTCCGGGTATTGGTAAGCTGAAAGATAAATCAAAAATAAGCGGCAGCATCTGGTCGGGAAATACATGTAATAATTTTAAA